CAAAAGATCAAAAACTTTACAAACCATTTCTTCGTTATTGTCATGAATGGCATTGAAAAACTCAGACTCCAGGCTAACAACATCTTCTGGAACTCTGCCAATGAGTGTGGTCTCTTCTAGAAACGGTTGAATTAGTTTACTAATAAAAGGAAAAACTCAGCTCACCATCGTACTTATCATCGTCATGAGCAAATCGCATAGGTTTCCCCAGAAATAAGAACAGATCAGCGAGATAAGGCATTTCGTCTGGGGCAATCAACGATATCGCAGTACCGCTACGCCCAGCACGAGCTACACGTCCAACACGATGAACAAACAATTTGGCTTTGGGTGGAAAATGGAGATTTATCACCTAAAGAGGTCGAAACATCGTTTAAAAAAATATTATTTAACATCTTTGGATGAGAGAAATTTCACTAAACCCTGAAAACCAAAATATAATAACACTTTTGATCAATTTTGAGGGGATTCTCATGTAACAACAAAGTAGATACATCATAACCTACCGTGTCTAGTAACGGGATATCCACACCACGAGCTGCTACATCAGTGACAATAAGGATATTGTTTTTTCTTTCAGTGAATCTAAACTCAGTAATACAAAAAAGTAAGAAACAAAAATATTTTGGATAGTGTTGACCAACCTCTGGATGTTGAGTTTTCTGGCAGTAGCATCAAGCTGACTGTAGATAAAAGAATTGTCAATTCCAGCACGATTTATTATTCCCACAACGTACCTGGAAGCGACTGTTGCACAAGTATGCAGAATGAAGAAAAAGGAAATGATGAAAACGTGCAAGAAAGAAGATTTTGATATAATGAAGAAGTGAGGTGGAATATAAGCCAAATAAAAATAATGAGTCAAGATTTTTTATATCTTAGTTACGTGTAAGTAGTTAAGGATGACTTACTCAACATGTTTCATTGTGGCGCAGAACACCACTGTCTGCTTCCCTTCAGAATTCATTTGTCGACATAAATGAAGCAAAACAGCAAGCTTTTCATCAGCCCTACATGTGGCGAAAACCATAGATAAACGGTCCGAAATCTTTTCATCAACATCGAGACGAACTATAAATGCAGACATAAAGATGAACCTGCTAAATGAGAAGAATAACGTCAGGCTAAATTGAATAACATAGATTTTAGTTAAGTGTAGCTGCAGATTTATAGCTATCTTAGATTCTGATTCAACACATGATTCCAAAAAAGTAAAAATCCAAAATACGATCATAATTAGACCGCTGAGCTTTACCTTTTATTTTAGTAGCCTTCAATAATGTAAATAATTAAAAAGCAATTTGCTACTTACTCAGCATCGGATCGGAGAGTCCAGCCTTCGCAAAGTCGACCAACATCTTGGGAAGAGTTGCAGAAAATAATAGCGTTTGCCTACTCTCAGGAATTCTTTTAAGGGTTTCCTAAACAGAGATGTCAATATCTGAAGATGAAACAATGATTTTGAACTACTCACGGTGAGCTGGTCCTGAAAACCCATTTCAAAAAGACGATCGGCTTCATCAAAAACAACGTATTGGACAAAGCTAAGTCGTAAGTCCATTTCTACAACGACATGCAGCAAACGCCCAGGTGTGGCAATTAATCTAAAGAACAAAGCAATCATTTTTTTAAAATTGATTCTAACTTTGCTCGGAATTCCTCGAAAAAAAAGTACCAAGGTCAAAGTCACAAAGAACTTACATATCAGGATTTTCATGGATTGTGGAAAACTGATCCTCTATAGCATCTCCTCCAACCAGAATTGCACATCGCAAGCCAGTAAATCGCCCAAGCTTAAAGAATATTGAAGTTAACAAAAGAAGGCAAAGAAAGCAATTGTCACTGTTATAGAAGGCATAAGACGAAGATGAATAGACGATAATTTGTGATTACATACTAACATTACTCTAGTTATGCCAATATAGTTATATAAATTGCCAACCTCTTTTACCACCTTGAATGTTTGCAGCGCTAGCTCTCTTGTCGGTGACACCAAAAGAGCGCGGATACCCTTAGTGTCTCGCCGCTTTAGCCGTTGCAACATTGGAATAATAAAAGCTGCTGTTTTACCGCTTCCTTAAAAGTTATAGATAAATAGAGGTACGGAGCAGATATGAACAATCAAAAATCTAAATTATGAAAGGCTAAAAAACACATAGACGAAGAGAAACAAATAGTGTTACCTGTGCGAGACATTGCCACTACATCCTTGCCATCAAGAATACACGGTATGGTTTTTCTCTGGAAGAAAAAGCA